ATTTAATCATTGATATGTGTTCTGATTGTATAATTTTTTCTAAATTTTTTTTTGGTTTTCTAAAATGCATTTGCCTGCGTGCGCCAACACTCACCTTCAATTTTTTTTTAGGAATTCGACTCTTGTAGAATTTTTTGGCCAGACATGTTTATTGATTACCTTCAGGTGCCCTTTGTATTATCATTCTTTAATGAGTTTATCATGTCAGTTGTTTTTCTGTTTATGAATCAGAAGATTGTAGTTTGAACTATTTAATTTGACGTCTTACCATTGTATAATTTTCTTTTTTGTATTTTATAAAATGCATTTGCCTGCGGGTGCCAACACTCCCCTTTCATTTTTTTTTTAGGAATTTGAGTCTAGTTGAAATTTTTGCACAGACTTGTTCCTACGGTATACATTTTTCTAAATTATTTTTTTTGTTATCTAAAATGTGTTTACCTAATTTAGACTCAACACACTCAGCACGGTTAAGACGTTACTGTTCTTTATTTTTGCCATTTTGTTCATTTTTCCTGTAAATCATAAATTATAATATTATAATAATATAGATTTAGTATATTTGAAAAAATATGAAATACAAAATTTTGTTAACACGGCGCATTGTATAGGCAATTCAGCTGCAAAAGAGTTAATTGTTGTTTGTGAGGGTGTCTATGTACTTGCAACGACTTAACAACTAAGATTTTTAGATTTAAATAAAAATCTCTGTAAAGGCTTAACTCTGGAACTACTTATTAGATCTTCTTGATTTTTTTTTAAAACGAAAGAGTATTTCATGGAGAAGGTTTATATGAATGAACGTTTTAGGAAAATCTACCTGTGTATTATATTATACTGGTTGCTATCGGTTAATCGGTCATTATTGTTGATGTGTATTATTATTTTTTATACATATATATAGGTAATTTATACAATAATATCTGATAAGTAGTTTCAGAGTTTAGTCTGTAAAGTTATAGTCTGTGTATTTATATAGTTAGATATATAAATTAATGTTTGAGGGTAGACTAGACCTCTGGGAAGAATATAGGTTAATTTACAAAGGGTTAAATTTGTTTTTTTTTTATTCGTCAGATTTTAGTACGGTTATGATTTTAGGATAGGATTTTGTATAAATTGGTTAAATTAATCCACCTTTTTATTTTTCTAAAATGCATTTGACTGCGGGCGCCAACCCTCCCCTTCAATTTTTTTTTAGGAATTTAACTCTAGTTACATTCCTTCTATAGACTTGAATATTGATAACCTGCATTTGACCTCTGTATTGACATTCTAAAACGAGCTAGGTAATCATTGTGAAGTATTTTTTCCGTTCATGAATCAGGAGATTGTAGTTTGAACAATTTAATATGACGTCTTACCATTGTATAATTTTTTTTTTTTTTTGTTTTTTATAAAATACATTTGCCTGCGGGCGCCAACGCTCCCCTTTCATTTTTTTTTTTAAGAATTTAAGTCTAGTTGAAATTTTTGCACAGACTTGAATATTGACAACATGCAAGTGCCTTCTGTATTGACATTCTAAAACAAGCTAGGTAATCATCGTGAATTGTTTTTTCTGTGTAAGATTCTGGAGATTTTAGTTTGAACTCTTTAATATGACGTGTTATTATTGAATAATTTTTTCAAAATGTTTTTTTTAATTTTCTTTAATGCATTTGCTTACAGGTACTCTATGAATATACTTTCATTAATGAACTATGGTTTATGAATAGTTTTATTAAGATTCTGGAGATTGTAGTTTGAACTCTTTAATCTGTGTTCCTACTGTTTAATTTTTTTCTAAATTTTTTTATTGTTGTCTAAAATGTATTTTCCTGCAGGCGCAAACACTCCCCTTAAGTTTTTTTTTTTTAGGAATTTTACTCTATTTACATTTCTTCTATAGACTTGAATATTGATATCCCGCAGGTGCCCTATGAATAGTTTTTCTTTAATGAGCTATTTATTTTGAATAGTTTTTTCTGTTTTATATTCTGGAAATTTCAGTTTGAGCTCTCTTATGTGTTCCAATTGTATAATTTTTTCTAAAACTTTTTTTAGTTTTCTAAAGTAGTAAAATCACTAAGCACACGCAGCACGGTTAAGGCGTTACTCTATTTAGTTTTTCCATTAGGATCATTTTTCCGTAAATCATAAATCATAATATTATATTAATAGTTTTACATTTTTTTATATACAAATTTAAACCCGGCGCTTTGGATAGGCATTTCAGCTACAACACAGGTCATTGTTTTTGTGCAACATTATTCAACAATACTCGTGGTTCAGTGTTTATGTACAACTCTAGGAAGCCGTTATAGTTATATCTAAAACCGTGTAAGTAATGCAAAAGCAGATCTCACGGAGTCTTGTCGTCAGTTCCAAATGGAAAAAGTTTCCATTTAGGCTACAGCCTACAGGCAACTATTTATAATAATATTTCTGTAAATGAACATACGATTTATCAATAGACCGTATTATAGGTACCTACTGACTATAATATATAAGTTCTATGGTATGATACAATTCTACAAAAATAAAGACAGTGTTAAAAGGAATAAAACAATTTGTATTTCTGTATAGTTAAGCATGTAGTATAGGCTTATTGGGCACAAGTTTTATTATAATTTTAAATTGCACCTAACTTAAATTAAATATTGATATTTACATTGTGTCATATAAGCAGGGCTTTTAAGTTCAAGCCCCAAAAATTATTAAATAAGCATGCACTTATGCGCGAAAAACTGGCAAAATAATCCTTTAAAAGTTCAGAAATATGCATTCATTGAAGCAAAATCTAAAACTGTACATTAAAAATAAGTGGATTAAAAAATGAAGACATCAAATGCAATTTTTGAAATAGCAAGAATTATCTGTTCATATTTTTAATAATTTGACATAGCAACAATTCTCATACATTTAATAAAGTGAAAAATATAAATTATTGCGCTTTTCATGAAATTTTAATTTTTCCGTATTATTTTAATAGAAAAAAATGTATGTTAATATAATAATATCAATACAGTAATATTAAAATTAAAATTATGAGTAATATGCCCAAAAAAATATAAAAACCGATGAATACCTGTGAATAAACCTATTAAACTTCACATACTTAACCATCGTGCCATCGTGTAACCTTTGAAATTAATTTCTATTTCATCTAGCATTAAATACACCTTAGTAAGATTGATGTACAAAATGCATGAACTTACAAGCCCTGCATATGAGTTATGAATTTTAACCAAGAATCTAAACATCAACAAAAATATAGGTGCAATAACAATTTATAAGCTATTTACCTATTGTAAAGTAAAGGTATACTCTGGTTAAATCTTGATGCCAAGCATATATTTCAGTACCTACCCCCTCTTTATCTCCTTAATAGAATATTTAGTACATATAATTATTATTTGACTGTAAATAATTTAATTTTTGTTGTATGTGATTGATTACCATAATGTACCAACCCCCCCCCCCAACCAAAAAATCCACCATGACCTCTAGGCTTCATAAAACCCCATCCACCACGCCACTGCTCTTGTTCAATGACGACTTTTTCGAGTTCTCCTCGTTTTCACTTCCTGTAAAACTAAATAACATAGACAAAAAAAAAACCGTGATTAGAAATAATATTTTTAAGAATTTATTATTATAGAATTAATAAATAATAATTAATATAGTACAAACTTTTTACGAACAAGTCTATTTTGTTCACCGTGACTAGTTTCTGTGTTTTTAGTGGGATAATAATTACTATCATGGTTATATTAAATAGCTGCTGATGGAGAAATATTGTTTAATGAATTTAAGTCATTAGCCACAATATCATAATAAGTGTTCTCGACTGAACTAAAAAATAAATAGTATTACAAAATATATTATCATTATTATATCTAAATTGTAATTAAAATAATAAATAAAAACAATTGAAAAATATTTATCTAAAGTACATACTTTAACAAATATGTAGTGGGACTGACAACAATATTCTTCTGGTTTTCATGATGGTTAAAAATTGTAACAGGAGCAGGTGAAAATGGAGGATCGCAAAAATTCAGTAGATCCTCAATACTTTCCTTATTTTCAAATACATAATCATCATTAGCACTGTAAAATATACGATTTAATTATTACCAATAGTCTATGTATATTGTATACATATTGAACCAAATAAATGTATGTAAATTAACATGACATAGGTAACAAAAAAAAAAAATAAAACTATTAGTTAATTGTAGTGTTAAATAAGCAACACTTACTTTATTAAGATTGATATACTTTTGAAATCAAAATTATTTTCATTTCCAATAAATAAAACATCATTATTACATTTTGATATCTTAACAGGACATGTAGAATACATTCAACGGATGACTTAGTGATATCTTCATTTTCAAATAAATATTAATCGTCATAATTTCTAAAAAAATAATAATTAGTTTATTAAAAAAACATGGAAACTAATCAATTACTAATAAAAAGTTGTATACAATTATGTTCCATTAAAATTATTTAATACAAAATTAAAAATTAATTATCAAAAAAATAAACTTAAATTAGTTCAAGTTATTTTTTGATTAAAGGGAGGGGAAGAAAAACAAAGCCAGACGGAGTACTGTAAAGCAGTGGTATATGAAATTGTATTACCTTGACGTGGGCCAAACTTTTGAAATATAATTAACTAGCATAGTATTGATTGAAATTTGATGTTTAACCTTAAATCAATTTTATAATTTATTTACCTACAATCAAAGCAATAATTATATAATACAGACAAATTGAATGTATAAAAAAATAACTATCACAAGAAATGGTCCCAATACTTGAAAAAATAAAGAGACAATGGGTGGAGATATATCTGCATCCTTCACCCAAGTGAATATATGACAACATTGTACTATATAAGATAATATGATAAAAAAAACTGTTTACTTACTTCATAAAATCTGTCGTACATATATTATCAGAATTATTCTGAACACCTTTATTTAGTATAATAACATTTTCATCACTTATACCACTGCTAGAAATCTCGTTCTTTTGCTCTTCATCATGTTGTACCTCAAAAAAACTACAAAAAAATAAAATTATATTAATAAAATACTATAATAAGTAAACAATTATAAACATATTATGAAATATAGCTTATGGTACCCACCTTTGCGAACAAGAAAGTGTGTCTGGATGGTATACAAAACAGCTTTAGCATTATCTATTGATGTGTTTACAGATTCTTTAAGCAATTTGATTTGATCAAGTATGTTTCTCAGACTTTTAGCTACGAATGAAGCTTCAGTTAGACTTTCTAATTCTTTTATGAAAACATCAGACTTGAGTCGCGTTCGTAATACATCCAGGCGAGGATCATTTTCTTCTGTTCTTTTGCTGTTTTTACGACTATAATAAAAAATATTGCACATTATTTCATCTATCTGCATACACAAAATTAACAGTATACCAATAGTATTTAATGTTATAGATTTTCCATTCAACACAGACATTTGGAGAGCTAGTTGAGCCAAATTCATCAGTGATGACTACAAGGTCATTTTGCGCATTATCTAAAGAAGCACTAGCATCTGTAGCCAGTTCTCCCAACAAGCGAACATTTGACTCAAGTTCCATTGTCTTTTGTTCTCTATCTAATAACTAAAAAATATAAATACCGATGAGTAAACAGATGAGCGTAATAATCTTAGATTATTAAATATTAATTGTAAAATATACTTTATTTTTGAGCATGATTAATTCATCTTTTAATGATAAGGTTTCTTCAGATGAATTTAACTGTCTTTTAAGTTCTTCTAGATCACCGTGAAGCTGGTCAATCTCTTTAGATGCTAAACCAAACCATTGTTGATAATATTCCAAAGTTGCATTTGATTTTCCATCTTCAGTCTAATTATATGAATTAATAATAAAATAATCATCCGAGTGATTTAAGAGCTTATCTAAGAAATAAAACATACCTTATGTTCAGAATCTACTTTACTGGTTTGAGTACCAAGATGTTCCAAAGACCTTATGTGTGATCCAAGTTTATATATACGAGATGCTAAATTTTCCAAATCTGATTTGCATTTATCAGACGCTGATTGAGACTCTTTAAGATTCTGTGTCAACAAGCTCTTTTCGTTTTCCACTTGTTCTAACTGTTTTTCCAGTTTTTTCAGTTCATTGAGATGTATTTCACTAAATAAATCATGTTTTCCACATTCTGGTAATTCCATAGTTGATCCAATATAGTTTTCAAGTTTACGTAACACAGGCAAATCATCTTTGTCATCGCTACCAACATTTTGGTCTCCGCCCATACCTTACAAAAGTACATTCAGAGTATAAATACAAACACTTGAAAAGTTGAAACACTTGAGTACTTTGAAGCATATTGTTGAATTCAATTTATTAAAATTTTGTATGATCCAAAGAAATATTTAAGATTTTAAAAATATTTTAATAGTATCAATTGAAATATTTGTAAATACATACATACCTCTTATGCTAAAAGCTAAGTTACTGAGATTGTAAACCGATTCATTGTTGATACGTTGATCAAGTTCTTTTTTCAACACATATTTAGCTTCGCGTTCACCCTATAACATGTATTCACAAGTTCAAATTGTTTATCCAAATAATATAATCGTAATATTACATACCTATACATACACAATACATATTAAATAATTAGCTTACTTGTAATGATTGCAGAGCTTCTTCCATTTGTTTTTCAGCAATTTTGTTCAACTTAGCTAGCTCATCAACTTGTAAGTACAGCAGTTCAACATTTTCTTGCAGTCTACGTATTTCGTGTTTTGCCCCTTCAAATTCAACCTATTTATAAATTATAATTTATTATTTTTGAAACCAATTAAAAAATGTCATATTATTAATCATAAAGTATTCATATATTGATATTGACCTGAGAAGATTTCAAATGAGCAATTTGTCTTTGTCAAGTTATATTTTCTTCCTCTAGTTCTGAATAATCTGATAGTAACCGAGTTTCACGGGATTTGACTTCACGTAGATCTGCGTGAAGTTGCTTAGAATCATGATTAGACTCATTACTCAACCTTGATAAGTCATTATTTTCTTGGATGGCTTGATCTCGCTCCATGCGAACACGTTCCAACTCTTGTCGTAACTATCATCAAATGTCAATAAATTGTAATGTGTTGTCAACTATGATTCATAAATAATAATAACATTATTCTTTGGTACACTTACCGATTTAGTATCATTTTCAAGCTCTATGATTGTGGTATTTAGTGATGATTCTAAAGCTGCTGTTTCATACAACAGTGATTCTTCTTGTTCTATACCAGATTTGGTGGTTACTTTGTGAGAGGTTTGAAATTTTGTCAAAGCCTAAAATTAAATACAAATCAATAAATTATGTTAACTAAACATTAGGTAACCATAAAAGTTTGAAATAATTTTGTAATTCGGTTTGTAGGCATATACTGCCGTCATAAGCGAAAACGCCGTAAGTCACCGGAGAACGGTTTTGAGAAAAACTCGTTTTTGTATTTTGTATTTTCATAAGATCACGGCGTTTAAGTTATTTGATTATTAATTGTATTATATGTTTGGAGTAATATTTCAGACATACGGCATATTCGTCTACACAAGCTGAATTTCACAATATTTTTTTTTTTATAACCTCATTTTTTATTTTTTTGGGACTTACGGCGTTTTTGTTTATGACTGCAGTATATACATGTATGAATAAGTATAAAAGTAGAAGAACCAATAGAATATTACAATGTTATATAGGTAGAATAGTATTAGGTAAAAATGGGCATTAAATTAATGGAGGGTAATTTTTATTTAAGATAGTTTTTGTGGGTTGGATAAGAGATCTAAGTCAAAGATATGTCATCATCAGATGTCTAATGATTAGTACTACCTATAAAGAGGACACCAATGTAAAATATTATGTATATATTCTACATCATTATTCAATTTGTTAATAAAAAAAATATTTGAAAAATTTGAATATAAATAAGATACAAAGGTAAAAAAAGGTTATTCTTGCTTTGAACAAGATGGCCTTCAAATAATTATATGGAAAAAAAACCCAGAAATGTAGTTACGGTTTTTAACGTAGATTAAATGGATACAAAATATTAGTTAACACCTATATAATGTATAATATTACCTCTTGAGTGATTTCTAATTCTTGTTTCACATTCTCATTATAAATTCTCCAGTTCTTCATAACGTTTTGTTAGTGATTGTTTTTCTTCCAATATACTTAGTCCATAAGTGGCCAACTGGACCTTTTCTGTATGAGCTTGGTCAAGCTCACACGTAAGCCGATTTATCTCGTGCTGCAACTCGGCCACGTCCATGTCTTTAGGGAGAAATAAAAATTAGTTATCCATAAGAATGAATCAGTTTCAATTTAATAAAGTACAAACACAACATACTTTTGTCCTCTTAACACTATTGCACGGCCTTCAATCAGAATTTCATAGTAGTTATATAATTTATATACCTATAAAATACGACTTTTCAGCTTGTACCTAATAAATAAAGCAATAAGAACTTTAGTTTAGTAAAGCAAAACATGAATCAAATTTAATAAGCTTTGACATTTTATACATCTAATTAAAGTACCTATTAAACTATAATAGTATAGTTGGTACTTTGGTATAAACTATAAGTTATGAGACAATGTTTTTTCAACATAATATCTATTATCACTATTATCAGTCGAAAACTAAGTTCATTCCAAACGTGGTACAGGTTAAATGAAAATACCTTAGAGGTTTTCTAGAAAAAATTGATCAACTTCGCTGACTGGGTTCTTCTATGCCGGGCCTCCATTGCAATTAACCAAAAAAATAGTCCTTGGACAACAATAAAAAGAACGACGTAACATTAAGCAATGATATATTGAATTGGATATATTAGATTAATAGAAATATGTATCAATATAAAATATAATCATTACATACTTGACTGTGAAAGTTGGAAGTATTCTTGTAAATATATTTTTAATTACAGACTGTCTAAACTCTAAATAACTGAAGTAATAACCAGTAGGCAGTAACCAGTACTAACCACGCTAATAGGTAATAGCAAATACTATAGATTAATCTATAGTATTTGGTACGCGATGTTAGTGATAACATTTTTCCAAAGACGTTGTAATAACTCGAAACCCAAACAAACATTTTACCCATAAGAAATATACAGGAAGTAATTTGGAAATTAATTAATTAATTAAAATAAGTACATTATGCACTCAATTTTGAGTGCATATTGTTCACCGTAAAAAATGGAATTATAAAGTTATTCGATTCAAACTTAATTCTTTTGTAATTTTAAATTTACTAAAGAAATAAATTTGGCGGGAAAAAAGTTTAATTACAAATGTATACTATAACAATGTAAGATATAAATAAAACTTTGTTTTTCAAACATCCAATCCTTGAATAGGTACAAATTATTATATGGCGGGTTAGATATTATTAACTATCTTGGTTTATAAATTGGTGTTTATCCTTTTTATTAGGTTTATACAGTAAAAATGTCATAACTGCATTCTGCGTCATATTATACTCCTTATAGTTTTCGGAAATCATTAGGCATGGCCCGAAAAAGTGCTCTAAGTTTTTCAACTATATCGAATTATTTCAAAATAAATCAAAAACAGTTGAAAAGAGGTGAACTGTCATTTCTAGCAGGATACGTTTAAAAAATTAATTTTGATCCCGATGGACTTATTAAGGGTGATGTTAAAGCCAGTATGAAACAAACCACATATCATGTGCAGGTTATTACTTATTTTATATTAATAAATTATAGGCATAATATATATGTATTAAATTAGTTTAACTCTTATATTAATAAAGTTTAATATTTAATTTATAGCTCTAACTATATAGTGTTATATAGGCATATATAGTGTTTACAGTATATTTGATATTTTGATTCTAATATTGAAATTAATTTAGTATACGTCAATTAATACCATAGTTTCTCTATATTTGAAATTTTTAATACATATTTTAAATTAAATTAAATTTAATTTAGGTACCTGTGCATAGTTATCAGTTACTATAAATTATAAAATAAATTAGTTTAATGTTTATGATATTAAACATAATATAAAATACTTTTAATTTTTAAGCTATGTGTATACCTATTCCGTTCTAAATTCACTATTTTTTCAGATAGTTTTAAATTATGACATAATATCTGACTCTCTCTGTACATGTCCAAGAGGACAAGGCATTTGTCACCACATTGCTGCTGTATGTATTTTCGTCCATAACAATTTCAGCTCTACTGACTTGCCATGTACTTGGAATACTAGAAAACCAAATGATGATAATGAAGTTCAAAGCATTAAAGATATTTATCCATCAAAACCATATACAGCAACTAATAGTATTCCAGATGATAGTATAGACCGTTTCAAGCAAAGTTTAGCATGTATTGGATTACCCGTAGGAGTAATGTGGTTATTAAAACCTGAACCTCGTATGCCACCACCAGGAGTCTGCTTGCTAATCTCAATTGAAGAAGTTTTATTTTCACAAGAATACATAACATCAAAAAATAAACAACATTTTCTCACAGAAAAACTTTTAGTCACTAATGAAATGATTTTAAAAATTGCTCAAGAAACTGTAGGCCAAGCTAAAAACGATCTATGGCTTATTCATAAGAAACATAGACTAACAGCTAGCAATTTTGGAGATATAATATCAGCTATGACAAAAAAAAGTATACCAAAATCTCTTTTAAAATCATTGAATAATGAGTATGGAAGCATTAAACATGTCCGTGCAATAGAGTGGGGTCTGGCTAATGAATCAACAGCAATAAATGTTTTACAAGAAACTGAAAATATTATAGTTCAACCAACTGGACTATGGTTACACGCCAGTGTGGATTTATTGGTGCGTCACCTGATGGTCTTATTGGTGAAGATGATATTGTTGAAGTGAAGTGTCCATATAAATATAGAAAATGTAAATTATCTGATGCAATAACTGAAGATCAATCATATATAATTTACAAAATTAACAATGAGATATTCATCAACAAGCATCATATTTACTGGCACCAAATACAAGGACAGCTATTTATGACCAAGAGAAGTAGATGCTTTTTGGTTGTGTGGACAACAGACGAAACTATCATAGTTCAAATCTGTAAAGATACAAATTGGTCAAACAACTTTAAAATTATTAAATCATTTTATTTAGAACATTATATTCCATACATTTTGGGGAAAAATGAATAGTTATTAAGTAAGAATATGTATACAGGTAATAGAAAAAACAAATATTTGTTTCATAATTATTAAAATATTAACAGTAACTAAATATAACACAGATTAATAAATAAGTTGTACTTCTGTACTTTACTTTTAATAATTATTATTATTGATTTACATTTTATCTTGAATTTCTTTGATCAAAGGAAATTTTAAATTAGTGAGAGCAGAAACTACTTTAAAAATACAATCACTGTGAGGCAATAATAATGTAGGAATATGATTTAAAATCCTATAACATTTAATCCTACGTATGGCACGTTCAACATGTATTCAAGCTCGAGCGATAGTTTCAGTTAAATAAATTTGTTCTTTAGTAAATTGTGGTGTATCAAGAAATGGTGGTATATTTAGATGGACCCCAGTAGGCAAAATATCTCTAATCAAGAACCCTTTGTCGGCTAAACCAAATCTCCTTCTTCTAGTTGTGCAAATAAACCACTATGTAAAGTGACAATTTTATCAGATGTTGAGCCTGGAAATAGATTACTACAAAATGTCACAACACCATTTAGCGCAACCCCTATTAAAGCTTTTAATGTATGGTAATGTTTGTAATTGCTATAAGTAGATTTCTGAATAACCATAGATTTTCTAGTTACATCAGTAGGAAATTCTGTACAATCAATTATGATCCTACAGTTAGTAAATGAACTGAAAGCATTTGGTAAGCACAATTTGTTCTTATTCCTAGATGGTATTTTATTCATACATTTTAGAAATAAATTTTCATAAATAGTATAGATCCAAGTAATAAATATGTTAGTTATAGTAGCACGACTACGATTGAAACGTTGGGATCAATCTAAATGAGGTAAATTTAATCTTAGTTTCATTAATGTTAATAATAATTGATCCTGAGGGCTTATAGTTTTTACGTTCCACCCCAAAAAATAATTTAAATTTACATCTTTAAACATCTCAAAAAGAGAATTAAAAACTTTTGAATTTGGTAATCCAGTATAAACATTAACCAATTCATCACTGTTGCATATAGTCTCATAACAAAATGTAACGGATAGCTTATACATTTTACTTTTCAATTCTTCATTTTCTTTCTTAAGGAAATAATTTTCAGTTTCTAATACTGTTACACTTGGAATTGATTGTGTAGGTTGAACCGAAACAGATCTAAAAAAATAATAATACTATTATAATAATTTAATATTCAATGAAATATTAAATTGTGAAATTAGAAATAATAATTATAAAATTAAATAATAGGAACATTGAATCATCTATTTGAAGAGTGGCATAACATTTAGATTAAATTAGTATAAATAATAATATAAAATCAAATTCTCATCCAAAATCAATATTTTTTTGGTTTTAGGAACCATTTTCAAACAATTTTAAATCCCTAACCCCGAGTGTAATTGTTTTATCTTTCAAAACAGTATGCATTATTTATGATATGTATAAATAACTACTAAATTATTTTGAATTTAAGGCCATATATATATATTTATACACCTACATTTAGTACATGAAGCATTATAAAATATCTAATCTATTTGAAAAGGTATAGATGAATTTAATAATAAAAGTACTAACTTTGAATCTAAATTCAGATCCATCTTTTTATTCAAATTCAATATTTGAATTTCTGAATTTTCAACTTGAGATTTGATATTCCTAGACATATTATAATAAAACAATTAATATTCTTCAATAACAAAGTTTCTTACATAGCCACATAGGTACCTACTTATCAACGTCTAATGCATTTTCTGCATTTATCTTGCACGATTGCATATCTGTAAGTATGGTTACTTTCTTGGTTCTTTGATTTCTTCTTTTTTGGGGAGGTTGGGGAAATTCATTGTCAAAAGCCTTTTTTAAGTGGTCTTGCAACTCCGGACCGTTAATTCTAAGTCCATTTTTAAAATGACAACTACAAACAACACATCCACGACCAGGTTGGT